GTCTGGGGAGAGGTCCCAGTGACCAAGGTGGTGGTCCATCTTCAGCTGCCACAGCTGCCTGAAGCCAGGCCTGGCAGGAGCCCTGTGACCAGGTCCACGGAGGGGCTCTGCAGAGCAGGGCTTCATGGGTACAGGGCAGCTATGTGGAGAACTCCAGGAAGAGAACTCAGGCACTCAGTTTCCTCTCCAGCAGAGGGTCTGAGCTGTATCTATACTATGGTATACCTCTCAATCAAAGCTCAACCAGAGAAATGCTGGAATGTGAGAGTGTCCTCCTCCTCTTAGACAAGGCAGCTCTCAGGGAGCTCCAGGGCCAATTCCTGAAGCAGATGAACCGTGGAGATGGACATCCATCTGTTAAAACCCCCTGCTCCTCCCTAGCAACATTCATTCCATAAAGCAGCTGTTTTGAACTTATTAACAAAAGCCTATATTGCGTTTAAAGAAGGAAATTCCATACAAACTACTGGCTAATGTAAGTCAAGGAGATTCTAGGCCATGAGTACATCTTGAATCAGTGCCAGAGAATGACATTATAAAAAGAATGGTAACTATTAACAAAATATATATCACACACACTCTCTGTACTTGCCTAAATGCTTGAAAACATACACTCTATTGTTATTATTTTTTTAAAGTTAATTACTGCTGATAAGAGCAATCATGACAATTCTCCTAATTAAGTTTGTTAGACAGTGGTCAAAGAAGTGGAATTCCTACCAGTTTTCTGCACTTGCAGCTCCCTTTTGGCTTGTTCTAGGATGGACTTGATTGCTTCATCGGACCCAGTCTCTGAGGCTCGGATCCGGGTGGTGATGTTACCTGTAGGAAGAAGCCACACCAATGACATCAAACCCACACCTGGAACAAAAACCAGTGCTGCACGAAGATGTCATTCTGATAAATAGCTTCCGGGAGTTGAGGCTGGTGATGGTAAGGAGACAGGAATGGCCTCCCATTTACCTGTACCTGCTGTGCGTGCAACTTCACAGCAGGTACCATGACCCCATGCAGGAAGGACTTCCTGCGAATTTACCCATTTTGCCATTGGGACAAGCTCTCGCATTTACCCAAGCTGGACACCCATAGACCAGGGAGAGCAAATCATTTAATTCGGTATAAAAAAAGATGAAGGGTTAAAAGGCAATGCTTTTCGTGAGTCATTTAAAAGCAACTCCAACAACTACTTTGGCAGGGGGCTGTGTTCAAGGTTCTGTATGTGTAGATGAGACCGGTATCTCAAAAGGAAAAAATGGGAAAGGAGAATAAAGGGATGAGGCTATAACAATCATTTGGAAGAAACTGAAGGCTTAACTTACAAATTTTAGATCTATTATCACTTACTGTCTTGGAAAATTTATGAACGAGGAAAGGAGCCTGCAGAAATCTCTAAAGGACAAGAATTCAGTCTTTCAGTTGCATGGTGATGCTCGCAGAGTAGCCCCCATGCCCAGATGCACTGAAGCTACCACGGCCCAGGGGCTGGCCCCAGTTCTCTCTGGAACCTGTCCACGTTTTAACTTTTTATTACCTCCCTAAATAGGAACCGCCACACCGAGCCATTTAAAAACCAGCATAGCACTGGGACCAAGCCCCATTAAAGATGAAACTCCGAGGAGTGCAGTGGAAGTTGGCTCACTAGAGCCCACAGGAAAACTGATTATGTTTGGAATTTGTCCACTCCATAGCACTTTTAACACAGCTCCGAGTTAAAAGAAAGTACAAGGAAGCAGCAGTATCTCATTTGACTTAGTCACCTGATTTTTCTCAGAGCAACAATTGTTATTCTCTCACCTGCTTCTGAGAAAATGAGAAAGGCGGAATTTGAATCTGAAGGGGTTTGGGATTCTTACTTGGGATTAATTCTTAGTGGTGGCGCCCACTTCTCACCTCTTCTGCACTCGGTAGAGTGCAGGCAGCTCAGGAGGAAGGGGCCATGCGTACTTGAACCCGTGCTTTGTTTTATACTTACTAGCTCTGTTTTTCCATCAGGTTCCAGGCCAGAATCACACTGCACAGTTTTAACCCAAATACACAGCTAATGACATGCTGCTTCCTAGGTTACTAACTGCAAAGAAAAACACCTGCCTGCAACATACCTTCAGACCCATTTCTTCGTTTCGGTACTTCCTGAAATAGTCTGTTCAGGCTCTGGCCTGGATTCTCTGTTGAAAAACAAGTGTGGTAAGAACAAAACAATCAGGGGGATGGCGGTGTTGACGATATGGGCTGCGTGACATGAAATCTGAGCCGCCTGTCACTACGGAGAGGGCTCAAGGCTTCCTGTGCAACTTGGGAGCTACTAGAAACTTCTGAGAGGCCCTTCCCTGGCTGACTGGCCACAGAGGCCATGGTGCTGCTGCAAAAGGAGATCAGATAGACCTAAGGAGTGGCCTGCGGCACCAGCGCCACCAGGGGCAAACGGAGGGAGCACTGCTGCCAAGCAAATCGCCCACCAGTCCCCAGGACAAAGCTCACGTTAATCATCCAAAGACAGTCAACTTCAGTTAACAGAGCCATAAAAAGCTCAATGTGCTCTGTCCAAATTGACACTGTTTGAAATGTCTCCCTTCTCCGTTTGTTTTGAACTTGTATTTCAGGGTATTTTAAATGTGTCTGATACGATCACCTCTCTCCATCACTGTTGATTTAGCAGAATGATCCCCTGTTAGCGAGGGAGGGAATTCTTTCAATTAAGGATATGACTGACTTTTAATTTTTTTTATGGGAGGTAGGAAGGGTGTTTTAATACAACTTTCACGTATTTTACTCAAGGCAGGCGTGTTCTGCTCACAATGCTAAACAAATCACTAACAGAAAATAAGCCCTGGGAGGGAGCTGCCCACAAGACACACCCTTTTCTGTGCGGTGTGAAGAGGAGAGGACAGTGGTTGATACACCCACGGAATCAGCTCTGTGTGAGGAGCAACCCTGGCTGCTGCTGCTGCTGCTGCTGCTCTAGGGCTGGGTGGTACCCAAGGGCTCCTCCCCACGCGAGGCCTGCACCCAAGGCCCATCGGACCACTGGACACTAAACAGGTCAGGGCGTTGTACGTGATGCAGTTCCCTCCGATTCAATACATAGTATTGAAATACTGAGTTTACTATGTGTGAGGTGCTGAGCACATTTCAGAGGCCAGACCTCCCATATCTAACAGCTTTAGCTCATGCCAGTTGACCCCTGGAAGTCTGGAAATGGTAGAACTGGAGAGAATTTTACCTGATGTTGATGCACAAATGTTTCGTCACACACACAGACATGCACACACAACTCTGACGGGCTCACATGTTGGCGCCAACCCACGAAAGTCTCTCACCTCTTTGTCTGCCTTGGATGCTGCGAAGAGCCAAGATGTTCTGCTCGTCCGAGAGGAACTGCTTCATCTTGTGAAAAGGCTCCTTGCCGCGAACGGTCAGTTTATTCCATGGCTTGGGCCGGGCCAGAATCTCGCTCACAGACCCTTGAGACAGTCCCAAGACATAATGTCCGAAAATGCGCTGTCCAATATTGTGCTTGATCAACTGCTCTTTCACCTGCCGGGCGATTTCTGCAGTGTCTATCTCCTCGCCCTCGGAGACGCTCCCAGCACTTTCTGACTGGCTGGGAGACGGGGCCATGCCATTTACATCTGGGCTTTGTTGTAATGGACTTTGGGAAGATATGGAGTTTGTGCTGTATGGACCTGTTGAAAAAATCATGCTTGTGCTTCCTGCTTCCTGCATGGCCTTGGAGTAGAAGGACTGCATTAGCTGTCGTTGGAGGAGAGAGTTTAGTGCAAATTTTCCCGTAGAAGCCAGGGGTAGGCTGGGGCTTGCCAGGGATGAGCTGAAAAAGTCTTGAGTTAACCCCGCTGGTGAGAACTGGTGTGTACCATTAGTATTGGAAGCCTGCTCCCCCGTGTTGCGGGGCAACTGAGAAGGAGGGGGGGCCGGCAAAGGTCCAGGACGCCGACTCTCAGGCTGGTCTTTCCCTTTTCTCCTGGCTGACCCTACAAGGAAGGGCAAACATAATGCATTATGGGGGATTCAAAAGGGAAAAAAAACCAAGACTAAAATGCAAAGTTTGCCCCACAAAGGGAAAAAAAAGTGCAGATTTTACAAGGGCCAATGAGGTGTGTTGGTTTGTTTTTCAATTGAATTTTTAAATCAGCCAAACGAGGCCCCCCGGAAACAAGCAACATGCATTTCATGTTTGCACCTTTCTTGTACGTTGCAGCCTGGAGAGTCCCCTTGACATAGATTCAAATTCCTAAAGTGACAAGGAGCCGGTACCACACACAGTAAAGAGTTGACAGGTCGCAGGCCTCTGACTGGGCCTCTAGCATTCGAGCTATTCCCAGGAGGGCCCCACCTGAGGAGCAGCAAACACTGACATTTTGGGACCAACGGATTCTCTCACACCACTTGCTCTGAGGCGAATGCACTGTACCAAGTCCACTCGATCGAAGGCACGCACATTTTAAGAATGAAATATCATCGGAGCCTGAGACACTTTTAAACCGGTTTACCAGCTGCCAAAACCAGAAGCAGTCAGTGACGCCACCACTTTGGGATGAGCAAAGAAAGGCTAAGGATGGGGGATGCGTTCCCAAGGAAAACCTGACAAAGGAAGAAAAGCTCCACTGAGCCTGGAGGGGCAGGGCTAAGCCTGTCAGCAGCCCCCAGAGACACCACGAGAGAGAGGCCGCACAACTAGGAAAAGATCAGAAAGCCAACATCCTCCGAGTGTCCCTCCTGTGATCTCCTGCAACACTGGCTCTAACTGACCTCCGCAGACGCTCTGCGGCCACACGTCTCACCTTGACCACCTTTAAGCAGGCGGGAGAGGGAGGGAGGGGAGCGGTGAGGAGGATGAAGAGGAGACCAAACACTCATTAGTCAAGGTTCTCATCAACCAGTGATGCTCCCGTCATGCATCGGCCCAGACTCACGGTTTACAATCCTCTTCCTCGACCCCCGGAAGGGACTGAGCACGGCACACGAGACTCCTGTCAACCTACCGCTCAGGTCGCTGTTGGAGATGCGCAGGGCGGCGTTCTCGGACTGCAGCGAGCGGTTCTTTTCCAGCAGCAGCACCTCTAGGGGCTTGGATGCGTCCTAGACAGGGCAGAGGGGGGCTCACTGTGGGCTGGCGACCCTCCCACCCCTTAGGGCCACCAGACCCCACAACCCCTGCCCTTATCGTTTTCCACCCAACTGACTCCGACACGTTACAGAAACATGCCTTCTCCTGAAGATGGCTCGACATATGTGTGGAAAACACACAAATTCTTTTCCAAAAGAATTCATTTCAGTTGAAGTAATTTTTCTTTTCCTAGACAATTAACTAGTCTCTATTCTGTCCCCAAATTCAAGTAGTCTAAACCTGTGCCTCATCTGGCAATAGCACTGGCTGCAGAGCCACACACCTGTTAGAATATCATTGGTAAAGGTGCCAACCACAAAGAGTCAGCTGCCTTCTGGGCACCAGGCACAGGATCCCATTTGATAACTTAAATTTTAATTGGCCACCAGGTTGCCATTGTCACCTTGCCCACCCCTGTACCTTCTTCAAGTGAGACAGTAAATAAAAGTTCCTAAGCCAGTCCTTTTTGGGCTGCTTTTTAACACAATGTGAAATCACGACTTCACTTGAATTGAGTTATCAGTTTGGAAAACACTAACTCTTCTTTTTAAATAAAAATAACTTGCTTTAATTTGATTAAACATTCTTGAGGAATTACTGGTCAGCTATAAGTGAGGAGTCTCTCAGAAATATCGAGATGGTGAAGCTCGCCTGGGGATGAACAGCAACCGTGGCCATGCTGATGCTCACACACACACTAAAAGCAAAGTGAGACCCTGTACCTGTGTCCCAGCTCCCTCGGACGGTGCGAACTCCATGGATTTCAGAATACTGCGAAGAGCAAGACAGAGTGGTTATTTCCTACTCATACCTCTGGTAACAGCCACACTAATGAGCATCAACATCACAATTTCCTGCTCTCCAGGAACGGAGGAACTGACAACTTTAACAACTTCCCTGGCAGCATTATAATCTGATAGAGTCTCTAGAATAAGTATGCAACTAGCAGTTGGCCAGCAAAAGTTTCTTGCCCAGCATGTAAATCATTCCATATGGAATCACACCAGGTCTGTTCAGAGTATAATTTTAAAGTTGAACACAGACATAACATTGTTGCAAGTAGAATGTATTTGTAAAGCTTAGTGGAATGAAAGAGTTGGAACAAGGAAGCCAGAGAGAGAAACCTCAGCACCCCTCCCAGGGCCGCCCCCCCACACGTTCACTGTGGGCACCCGGGGACGGGAAATCGGCAAAGAGCAAGGTCCAACAACTGGATGGCTCAAAAGCTGGCACAGACCTTCTCCGCAGCCCCAGGACTGGGAAGAAACACCACTGCAAAGGTGTGGGAGAGCAGGTTTATTTCTTTGTTCTCCTTATCACTGAAATCACATTAATTTCTGGCCTGTTTCAACAGGTCTGAGAGCTGACTGAGTTCGGGTGCTCAGGACGGCTGTTTCCAGCATTCCTTTAGCACGGACACTGCTTTCTTTCTGAGAGTCTATGGGAGGAAAGGGCGAGTGAGTCCACGTGGGTACTCTCTTCACACATGAGGACAGGTGAGAATGAGAGTGGGCTGCCCGTCCCAGGCATGGCCACCTGCGTTCTCCCGGCATTCTCGTAGCAGTGACTTTAGCTTCTGCCCTCTTTAACCTCCACTGAAGTGTCACTAAAAGAATATGGTATGTAAAAATGCCAAGGGCCCCAGGAGATCACTCTCTGCCAGGGCCGCCTTGAGGTTCAGTAAGCAAGCAGCTGGCTGCTCTAAGTTTCTCTAAGGTTGTAACCTTAGAGAAACTGGTCCTTGTCATGCAAGCTAACCAAACCGAATGATAAGGAGCTAATGGCATAAACCATATAATTTTATTTCATAGTGAGCTATTGGAAACACTAAAAATCTCGGTCCCATTACATCCGATGAAGTATGGAACTTGTCTTTTCTTGGTGGCCATCTATTGTTCACCACTATATTCTTGTCTGAGAGCTTCTTGAGGATCATGTAAGAGAAGACTAAGTGAGTCTCTAAGTTTATACTAAAAACACCAGTGTCTTTTCATTTATCCAGCAGATATTTACCAACGACCTATTATGCGCCCGACCCGGGAGAATCAGAACCACTCTTCTCCTCACCCTCAAGAACACTATGGGCTCTTTCGGCAGAAGACAAAATCCAGATAGCACAGGAAAGAGGGAGCCTGTGGGGGCCCTGGGCAGGAGAGACTCGCTGGGCTGGAGACAGGGTCTCTGTTAAGAGTTTGAGAAGGGTCTTGAAGGAGGATACTTAACAAACCACTGGGGGTGTGGGGACTCTGGGGGCACAAATGGGATGAGAATGTGGACTTGTGTCTGAAAAGGCACTTGGATCACTAGGAAGTGGGAGGCCAAGGACACATTTAATCAGAAAAGCCACCAAGTGGGGCAGCTTCCAAACATGCTGCGGTGGGGGCTGCAGTGCGCAGATACAACAGAAAGGGCTGGCAGGAAGGTGGGAAGGTTGCTCTGGGAGGAGGGGAGGGCCAGCTTGGCAGGCGGACAGAGGGTCGGGTACGGACCAGGGATGTGTTGCCGGCTGGAGTCAAGAAGCCTTGGTTCCTAGGAACGGAGGCGAGCTTGGAGGGTGGGAGTGGGACTGCCCTCGGCGTGGGGAGAGCGGGGGGCTTGGGTGAAGGCCTTCTTATGCAACACTAGAAGACGGCACACATTTTTTTTCTCTTGAGTGGGGGAAGAAGAAGGAAAGGAAGGGAACACGAGGATGAGGAGGCAGGTACAGAAGATCAATCAGGTAAAAAATATAGATCCTTAAGTTGAAAATGGGGTGGGGGGTTAGTACAGAGCATGAAGAGCCTAGAGAGAGGTTAAGAGGTCATCCAAGACATTACTGACAGAGGCCGTTGTGACCAGAGGGAATGAGACTACAGAGAACTGAAGGGAGCACCTAGAGGCACCTCACCAGGGAGGCTGGAGGTCATGACTGAAGGAAGGCTACTGCAGGATATGGTGGCAAGAAGGTCAAAGATCCCTTCCGATGGGTTTTTCTAGCAAACCTGAGGGAACAGAATTATGAAAACAAAGAACAGCATGGCGAGTGGGTGTAGGCTTATTTTAAAAGGAGAAATTTAAAATGTCAGCAAGAGAGAAAGGAGCTGATAGAATGAACAGCAGGAAGGAATAGGAAGGACGGGAGCCAGGCTCCAGGTGGAGGGGTCAGCCTGGAGAGACAGGAGAAGCCAGGACCAGAGGAGTGATTTCAAGGCAAAGGAGGAAGATGCAGACGTCTACCTCCTCTGTAGGGCAAAATACCAGGGTGTCTGCTAAGGGGTTAGGGCTCAGCTGGGGACAGAAGAGGGCGCTGAGGGCACAGAAGGGTCCCTGGGGCAGTGCAGAGCCCATAAGTAGCTGTGGAGAAAACACAGCCTACTGAGACCGGGTCTACACACCAGAGAGACTTTCTTGCAGGATTTGATAACCTGCACCGGAGGCAGGGGAAGCCCAGGGGAGACTCTGTGAGACCAGGCAGGAGGACAAGGGGAACCGTGTGCACTGTGGGGGGCTGCCCATAAGCAACAGGCTGGGTGAGAGGGTCATGAGCTTGAGAGCACTGGAACTGGGGACAGGTAGGGACCAGGGTCTAGAAAATGCAAGAGGGCCAAGGGCAGGCTCTGGGGAAGGAGTATGAGGTAGAAGGGACAGGCTGGGCAGTGGGGCCTGAAGAAGGAACATCTAAGCTTGAGAATGTAAGCATTAGCACTGAAGGGACAACAGGCTTTCAGGTGTTGCCTCTCGGATGAGGAACTCGAAGTTGGGAGAAGAAAAGTTCTGCAGTCCAGGTGGCCGGGGAGACGTGTGGCCATGTGTACTCTTTCAAATGGCAAACGTTTTCCTGCTCTGCTTCTGTATGGGGAGCTTAGAGCTGAAAAACAAGCTCATATTTTGTAATATCTGTAATGGCAACATCTCCCCTGATTCTGGGCATACTGGCATACTTTAAATGCACAGTTTTAGAAAGAGTCCAAAGAATTCAGGCACACGCCTCGGTGCAGACAGCCACAGCGGTGGGCAGCTCAGAACATAGCCCAGTTGCGAAGTGTCTGCCTAAGCTGAGAGCAAGGACCTGTGGCTTCTCCCTCACTGGCATGGCTTTTTTTTTTAAGCAAATGTCTCCAGTGAGCACTGGATTGTGAAAGGCTGAGCAGGCATCTCCACACTTACGTTAGTTCTTTCTTCACCTCTTCATAGTCAGCCTGTCCTTTGAGTTTTTCTTCCAGTTGCTGAAAACAGAGAGGATTTTATTAGTTGCCATGTTGAAACAGGTAGATGGACTCTGCTATGGACTGAATGTTTGTGTCCATCCTCCAAATGCATATGTTGAGATCCTAACCCCCGCTGTGACAGTATTTGAAAGTGAGGCCTTTTGGGAGGTGATTAGGTCATGAGGGTGGAGCCCTCATGAATAGGATTAGTGCCCTTACAAAAGAGACCCCTCACCCCTTCTGCCTTGTAAGGACACGGTGAGAAGGCAGTTAGGAAGGGAGCGCTCACCAGACACCAAATTTGCTAGTGCTTTGATCTTAAAATTCCCAGCCTCCAGAACTGTGAGAAATACATGTTTGTTGTTTATAAGTCCCCCAGTCTATGATATTCTGTTGAGGCAGGCCAAAAGCACTATACAGATTTCACCGACTACATCCTCTGTAAAACATCCAGTCGTCCCTGAGAGGGAACACAAACACATACAAATGAAAGTTGACAACGTGCAGTGTTATCTTTTGTCCTTCACTCTCTGGTCTGGTGAGTGTGTGTTAGTGGACACAGGTGCCTGTGCACAGGCGTGCATGTGCATACACACTCACACAATATAAAGTTGTAACATAAACTTGATGAAAGTTGAAGAAAAAAGCTTTGCAAAAGTGGAAAACAAAGAAAAGGCCATTTTGTATGAAATACCATGAAATGACAAACAGAATGAAGAGAAGCTCTCCTAGGATTTTAAAAGCAGCATGTGGCTTTTCACAAAATATGTTTTGCTAGCTGATGGAGACAGTCTGTTGTCAACACCTTTAGTGGGACTCTGCTAACAAGAGATACAAGCCCCTTTGTTGTTGAGGCTGTCATCTGATGGGTATCAGGAAAAAGCACGTGTACTTCCAGATTCCTCGAGATGTGGGGATCTTAGGAGTAGAGGCCCATTTAGCTGGGTGGTCATGGGTTCTCTGACAGTTGTCTGAGTCCTGCAGGGAAGGTCTGCAGCTGATTCCCTGGCTCTAGATGGCCTTTTAGAGGAAAGGTGAGGGGCTCTGGCCTGGGGGCTCAGGGGAGTGACAGCACGTTTCACAGGTAGGATGATGCTCTGATGTGTTCCATTCAAGTCTGTGTGTTCACTGGGCATTCAGGAGCCTGTTTCTGCACAGAGCTCCATGTGGCTTTCTTGACAGGAAGATCTTTGGCATAGGTAGACAGCAGAGGTGCTTCCTTATATGAAGGTACTTTGGACTAGTTTGTCTTTGACCTCCCTGCAAGGGAGCTCTGTGGGGGAAAGAGGCAGCATAACATAAAACACAAAGACCCAGCTGGGGGTGTGGGGTTGGGGGTGGGGAGGTCCTGATGATTTGGCCTATTTCCAAGCTTGGGGTGAACAAAATCCAGTGTTTTAATCAAAGCACCTTCCCACCTACAGGGCTTCCAGTTGCTTTTCAGGTTCTGCTTGACCAGCCAGTTAGAAGCCAACGGAGAACATTCTAGAGGTCGGAAAGGAAATGCCCATCTGGCCATCAGCCTGGACATTCACCTGAATCCTGCCCTGCCTGTTGTTTTAAGAATTCAGGTGTTTCGTAAACAAAATTCATTTAGCCCACCTTTTCCTACTGCATTTGCTGGAAGTTTTTTTTGTTTGTTTTTTTGTTTTTCGTATTTTCCATTGCATAAAAGTGCACCACCCTAGTTCCTTTTTAAGACTTCTTGCCAACATTATGTATCATAATGGTTCCTCAGCCATAATCAAACAGGTGGTAGCATGCACTTATTTTCCGATAAAAGATTCTCAGAAGGTGCTCATGAAGAAGTGATTATTTCATTCTTCTCCCTATAGTGGAACAGCAGGAAGTGCTAATGTGCCAGTCCTTCCTAACAAAAGATTATCCAGTGCTGCGGGGATACAAAAGCACCCTTCAGATTGAGGAATTCACTGACGCTGGACAGTGAACACACATAAAACTTGATCATGTTGAGCGATCAAGAGAAAGACAGGAAGAAAAGCAGCAAGAGGGGAAATATCAGGAGCACTTCAGAACCTGGCATGGCATTAAAACTGTAGTCAATTCTGTCCCTTATAAGCAGAGTGACTTTGGACATGTCAGTAAACTCGTCACTTTGGGCATGTTAATAAACTTGTCATCTGTGGAATGGGATAGCAGCAATTATCTTCATGGGTTGAGCTTAGGGGCACAAGGCAAGGATCTGGTGCAGATGTTGGTAACACGAGGCCTTCAATGTGGGGCCTTCATCACTGCCAAGTCCCACTCCATCTCCCTGAGAGCACAGCTGTGGGTCTTCTTTGTAGACCTAAGATCGGGCCCTATCAGAAGGCTATAGGACTGGAATCTGTGTAATCTGGTTGGATATGAGTATTCACTGAGAACTAAACAGCTTCCACTAAATTTCTGCCACCTACGGACAGGCAGCTTAATTAAGAACCCAAGACCATAGCTGTAAACTTCTGATGACATCTTTGTCTCGGTGGACAGACAACTGGACGGAGGACTGGTGGGGCTACCTGACAAAGCCTGTCCTGACCTGCAAGCACCTTTAGCTTATCCTCACCGAGGTGTCACCGGAGTGCCATGACTCAGAGCCACGCTTGTGGTGTGGGACCGAACACTGGCCTCTGGTACTAAAAATGCCCATCGTGGAAAGCAGACTGAGTGTCCTCGGCTTGGTTCTTTGACCAGAAACTCCTTGCTGGGTACTCAGAAATTCTACTTTCGAAGACTCAATCTGGAAAAAGCAACAGGTGCTCCAGTCTGTTGTTCTCTCTGGAAAAAGACTTCTCTCCGATTTCTCTAATGCTCATGGGATGGGCCAGACTCTATGCTTGGTTCTGTATCCCATAGGCAGAACCCAATTACTTGAGTATTGCAACACTCTGCAGAGGTATCTATCCATCTGCCCAAAGAAAGAAAAAGAATCATCAAGTCCTACAATTTGACCTTGGCAAAGTGAGGCCTGTCCCAGGGGGTAGCCTGTTGGGCTGAGTGCTCCTCACGTGGAAAGTGCAGAGAGTTTTCAAAGGGCGATGGTGAAGAAATGTAGGGCGAGCAAGCGCAGGCTGCCGAGAGGCCCTCAAACATGGCTGCTTCATGATATAGGTCACATACCTTTAGTAATACAGAGCGTATGTGCGGTGAATAGAACTTAGGTATGCATCAAATGTTTCTTGAACTGCTAGAAGAATCTACATGAAGTTCTTAAAATCCTGGCTAAGACAAATGATAAGGGAATTTAATTTAAAATTCCCAAAGTATTTTGGTGTGCAGCAAATTAGGCACTGCATTTACAAAAGATATGTCTTAGTCCAGTTGTAACACAGGGCTTTCCGTGCTCTAGGGCTACCGACTTAAGGGACGTCTGGCACGGGAGACTAATGGAAAGACCCTTGGAAAAGCTTCATCATCCAGGTTGCACAGGGAGGGGTCAAGGCACAACACCTCTTTGCAACAAAACAGACTATGGGTGAGAAGGCAATTGTGTTACAGTTTATGTTCAGCTTTTTCCTCCAAGCTGATCAGAGCCAGGCTCTTAGCCATGCTGTCTGAAGACTGACAGCCCAGGCATCGGTGTACGACCCCTGGTCCTCACCTGGAGCCTGGGGCTGATGGGCCACCAGTCAGAGCTGAGCAAGTGTGACTGGGTTCCCTGGTCCTGGACAGGGGTCTGAGGCAGAGCCCCTAGAGCTGACACTGCTTTACTGGGGTTCAGGACTAGGAAGTGTGCACCTCCTTTTTACATGAACGGGATGTCTCTGGTCTCCACAGTTCCTCAGTGAGAGGTAGCATGTATGTAAATACAGGATCTATTGCTGCTGGGCAAGAGGGAGAAGCTTAGGGATGGCTGGGGGGTGCTGTGCACACATTACAGCAATGCTGAGAATGACAGACAAAAAGAGGAGACCCTCAAGGCCAGATAGGAGGTTGGTGGAGAGAGTGACCGTTATGGGAGAGGGCTTGCTGCAGGCTGGAGAAGTGTGGCTCTGGACAGAAAAGAAGGAGCCCTATATGGCAACCCTGTTAGTGGTCACCTCCAGCTTCCACGAGCTGTGATCCTGGTGTGACCCAGGTACAAGTGGATGGGAGCCAACCATTACTTGCAGTGTCCAGGTAGTCTGTGTCGGGCCCTCCTGGTCTGGGCCCAACACAGACTACCTGGACACTGCAAGTAATGGCCAGCTAAGGGTGCCACAAGCTGGGGACGTGCTACAAGTGAAATATCTGCATTTACTCATCAAGTGACTAGGGGCACATGTGTCTTTCCAAGAGGATTCATCTTAGAATAATTAATTAGCTCCTTAAAGCGTTTCCAGTAACATCCACTGGTTTACAGGGATTTTATAGGAATCCATTTGTGACCTCTAGCTCTCACCTCGATCACAACATAGGCCTTGAGGCCTGTAGCCAGGTTTTTGTCAAGATTGCCTCCACTGTTCTCCCCTCCCATGGGGCCACCTTCGCCCTTCCTCCTCCCTATGGATGGCTCACTCTGTCCTCTCCTCCAATCTGTTCACAGTGCCTTTAAGACCTAATCAGGACAAGGCTCTGGGAAGCTCGGCTTTGGGCTCTCTGTTACCAAGATGCTGATATTAGAACTTGCTCGTGACACCCGGGTTAAATCTCCCTTCGTGGAAGGTAGGTGAGTGTGGTGGAGGGACATACACGGGCCTCTCCTCTGTAGCCATGGGCTAGACACCACAGGGTGTGGCCTCTCCTAACCTCAGTGACTTCCTGCACAAGGTAGCGATCATCATCATTTCTGTTCACCCTACGAGAGTCAAATGGGATGTGGATGTTAGAGCTTTATACACTGAAATGTCGATAAAGATGCTTGTTAAAATATTATCAAGGGCAGTCTCTGTGCAGAGTAAACACACTGCTTGGTGGGGGAACTTATGTAATCAAAGAAGCAGAGTCCAGAATTAAAGGCACTGAATGGCTCTAGAGAAGCAGCTATCAGTCTTTTTTTTTTTTTCCCCCATCCCAACCTCCTGAGGGACACAGCATGCTCCACAGTGGCTCAGGAGAACCCATGAGCACCTTAGGAGGTGGGGTGAAAGTGCAGAGGGTTGGGAGACACTGTGGTTTAGAGATAGTCCAGCAGGTGATTCGAATACACCTCCCCCAAAATATAATTTCTTCCTATGGGAGACTGGAATTATTTTAGCTAGCCTTTCCCATAAATACCATTTAAAACTGAAGCTTTTGGTAGCATTATTTTCTGTACTATAGTGAGCACAATGCAGGTGACTGCCTAATTATACTGCCTCTGTTTTAAAGTGTTTCAACAGAAGACCACAAAATAGAGAGATCAAAAATAGCAGCCTTGTAATGGCAGTTGGGTTATTTCATTAATTACGAATACAGAATTATCCTTTACAAGTGGCGCTGTGCTTGAGCACTTGTCAGATTAGGCAGGAAGAAATATCTTCTACTTCTGAGTCTGTTTACATGTCTATTTAAAGGTTAGAGGATGTAATGCTATATGTGGAGAGTGATGTGTTTATGGTGAACTTGGCTTGACAAAGTGGAACACAAGGAAAGATTGGTAAACATCCAACTGTCAATTTATCCTCAAAAAATTACAAATCAGTTTTCTAAGCGAAGGGAAGAAATATCAACTGCAAAGAGATGGAGACTTTCAAAGTGCTGGAGAAGGCAGACCAATTAGTCCCCAAATCTATTCCACTACAGAGTGCACCACCAGAACGTACTGGTGGAGGAAACCCCCATAAGCTCAAGACTCAATAATCTCAAGATTCTGCCCATTATGCTTTCTGCCCTTGTGAGATCAACCCTCCACACCCCATCGTGACTGTCATTAACCACGTTAGCGTTTGTCTCAAAGACCATTGTCAATGCTCATGGCAAAGCCACTCACAATTCCAAGATGCTGAAACAGCTGGAAGCTGTAGCATCTGCAAACCGATCCTAATTTGATCGAGCCCCACACAGTGTGCCCAGAGTCCTAAAAGCTGGATAACATGATCCAAGAAAGAAAAAACTGGGGGTGGGGGTGGGGGTTCGAGGGGGCAAGGAGGGAGAAGGAAAGGAGAGCCCCCAGGAAATTCTGGTGCTATTCCCTGTTCCTTCTGAGTGGCCACCACTGCTGGGTCAGAGACCCCCGTAGCAAAAGCATCAGGCTGTCAATCTGACAGGTCTCATTCATAAAATATTTTCCTAATAATTGTATCGCTGCTTAGTTTAGATTTGAGACTATAAATTACACACATTAGGGGGAAAAAAAAAGCCCTGGGAAGGTATCTCATTCAATTAACCTTATTCCTTTGGGGAAGGCTAATGCCTTTTGTGTGAAGGTTCGGTATCAGGAAGATCTTCACTCCTGGCAACAAGGGGTTAAGATAATTAAAATCAGAGAAGTCTTGTTACTAGAGAATATGTTTTGATTATTAGATCAGATGAAGATAAGGGAGCAATAATTTTGGAAGAAGTATTGCCGAATTGTTTCATTAACTGCACAGTATTAAAGAATTCCCCCAAGATACGGATAAAGAACATTAATTTATGAAAACTCTGTTTCATTTTTTGTGAAGGCAAACATTAAAACCTTAACTGATTTAGAAGAAATTGCTCTATAATAAAAAATGTTAGGTCTATGGCCTCCCTCTCATGTAGTCGAATGCAGAATATATTTGAGTCAAACCCTTTAACTGCAACAAAGGAGAGAAAGGCAAATTATCTAATAATAATGCCAGTGCTAGGGTCAGAAATGGCTATAACATGAGAAAATTAGATTTAATCTAGAAATAAAAAATGAGTGCTGGTACTCACTGGGCAGGCTGATGAGAGAAAAAGACACACTGGAGAAATAAATGCCATGGTTGATGAGAAATGTGACCAGGTCTCAACTGTCTTTCCCAAGTGGCAGGACTATCTCCCCACAGGGGCTCAGGCACCCCAGCAGTTTCTCAGGCAGTGGATGAAACCCACCCCAAAGAGCAAAGAAGAAACTAATGAGAGCTGTGAGTGCCAAGAGGACAGACTTGCTGGGAACTTAGTACTGGGTCAAAAACATGGTCATGAGTTGAGAAGAAAAAAATTTCAAAAAAAAAAAACCAAATGGGCCTAATTGCATTCTAAAATTACTCTATATAAGAAGTTATCCTAACATTTTTATAACTAATTTGATCTACCTTATTTAGTATACAATGACCATATTTGGTCATTGTATGAGTTGGTCACTCACACACTCATTCACACACACTCCACAAACGGATGCTGAGCCATGCAGGAGTGGGCATTGCTCAGGCTGGGGAGAGATGGCAGAGTGGGGGAAGGTCTGGCCTGGGAGCTGGGGCCCCCTGCCCTCACTGGTCCTGTCCCTTCATTTTCAAGACACTCCGAGGAGGCTCTTCTGGCTCTGACATGTTATGAATCTAGGATCCCAGGACTATCTTTAAATTATACCAGTAACTTCAACAGATTGGAAATACCTTAAATAAAGTATCATTTTAAAAAAATACAATGAAAAGGGTTCTGGGTCTTGAATTTGGGCTACAAAATTATGAGAAACTGGGACTCCATCTGGGAGGAAAGAGACTGACTGTGTGAACGCCTTGTGTGTTGAAGTAACATGGCACTTTGGGCTGCTATGGTACATCACAGGCTTGAGGGACCAAAAAAATGGCCCTGCGGCTTGAGAGCACGACCCACAGGGCTTGGAGAAAATGTGCCCTCAGTGCACCTCTCGCTTTCATTTCACTTGGGCACAGGGAGAGCCTGAATTTCAGTGTGCTGGGTCGTCGCCTCCTCCAAGAGCCAGGGAGGGCCAGGCGAGCAGGAGTGATAGCATGTGTCTACAGATGGCCTGAGGCCTTGACAGCCACTCCAACCCCACCCGAGAAGCACACAGAATCTCCAGATCCACACTGTTGGCTCCAGTTCTCAGGTGGTACAGCAGCACCATGGGTGGGCGGGCACTGAAGATGGGGGTTTCCACCAACTGCTGCATGTAAGGGATAGAAGTGCCATTCAGGCAGGAGCTGGCAGAAGGTTCAAAGTCCATTTCCCTGCTTGGGCTCCAGGGCTGTTTCTAGCTACCTCACAGAGGTCCAAGGTTGCCATAGTTGCTGACAATTCCAGACGTGATGCCCTCCAAAGAAGAACTCTGATGGAGCTTATATATCCACGCTCATGAGTGAGGTGCCCATAGGAGCCTCGTGCCTTGTCATACTGTTCTCACAAAAATTCATGGTCGGCTCAGACTAAGAAATATCTAAGCCGTTGCTTTTGCTTTTAAAAGTGAACAAATTTTAACCATTACCTTGCAGACCACAAAAATGAGACTACCTAGTCTGAGACAACGCCTCCCGCCATGGTCACTACACCCAGTGGGCATCCCAGGTGCCGGAGGCAAAAGTGTCAGCGTGTTTGTGGCGAGCCAGAACCACTGTGCCAGCCGACCCTGGGCTCCCTGCAGGGCCACGTGTGGAGGAAGGCAGAGGGTACGTGTGTGTGTGCATCCAGCACCCCCCTTGCCCGCCAGCGCCCTTACTTTGAGTGTGCTGTTCTTGGCACTCAGCTGCTGCTCAAGCTGGGAGATCTGGCTGGCTGAGTTCTCCCGCAGCTTGGTGAGGCTGGCCTGGAGTCTCTGCACGTCCTCCACCAGCTGGGCGATCTCTCGCTCTTTGGCAGCCAACTCAACTTCCAGGCTGGAGCGGGTCAGCACCTCTATGGCCTGCTCCTGGGAAGGAGAAAGGAAATGACAAAACTGCACCAGCTTTGGGCAGGTGCTTGGGGTTAGCTGTGCTGGCGCCTGTGGCAAAAACAGGCAGATGGGAGGATGTGGACGGTAAGCTCACGGTAAGGCATTACTTCCTGCTTCTGCTTGGATCGGACCCGTGACTGCCATCTCCACACCACCTTTCTGTCTGCACGGTGAGCTGCCACTGGAATTTGTCCGTTCGACAAACATTTAAGAGGACCCACCATGTATCAGGCACGCAACAATGGACAAAAGGGCAGAATTCCTCTCTTCACATTTCCATTTAGCAGGATGAGTGAGACCCATTAAATGTACTTATTAGTAGCATAAAGTGTTTTGGGTGGTGTTAAGTGCCACAGAAGAGCTGAAGCAGGGAGAGAGTATGGGGTCGGACTCGGGATTTTTAATAAGATATCAGGAAAAGTCTCATGAGACGGTAATATTTGAACAAAGATCTGCAGGAGGAGACAGGAAGGGCCCTGCTGGTGGCTGGGGGATGAGTGCTCCAGCGAGGGGAATACCAAACGAGAAGGCTCTGGATGTTTGAAAGCATTCCGATCTTCTCCCACGAAACAGATTCAATGTCCTTTAGATTCATTACTAAGCTCTCTAGATGCTGAGGTATTGCCTGACAAATTGATTTTTCAGAGTCAGCATTTTCAAGAGTTAAAAGATATGGAAGATGCACATCTGGGGTTCCCTCCTTAAAAATTCTTTTGATGATTCATGTTCTAAAAAACTAACACCCCTCCCCTCAATTTGCTCATTGAAAAAAATTTGCAAAAGAGGGAAAAGGTTTAAAAAATAAAAAGTCAAATCCATAATTCCACTTTCTAAGTACTAAAGCAGTACTTTTTAAGTTTTAAAAGTAATAATGGTTGCTGAACGATTCTGGCAACATTTCTGCAGGGCGGATGCACTTCTAAGTGTGACTGACAGGGATGGGGAATATAGGACTACCTGAGTCTCTGTGACAGCAGAGACCTGGGGCAGCTCACACGGCAGTATTGAATGCCACTATCCTCTCTGTCGTAGAGACCTGTCTCTGGGGCAGCAGAGACCACGGCAGTATTGAATGCCACTATCCTCTCTGTCGTCTGTTCGTGTCTTGATCTTGCCTACACTGGGGTGGAAAATGGCGGCAGGGGCAGCCCCAGTGGGCAGGGGCAGCCATGCCATTTCAGGAACGATATGCTTGTCTTGAGGTTTTCACATCTTGGGATAGCCAGTCATCCAGGGAAATAATTTTTCAAGTCTCCCTCCTAGGAAATTAAGGCCTTTACCACTTAAAAATAAAGTTTTGTGTGCAAAGAAGTGATTCCTTTCTGTTTGATTTGTATAATATCATAAAATAAGATTTGCATTTCTCTTGACTTCTGGCAGATCCACACACGGCCCTGGGGCCCCAGTGAGCGCTTTCCCGCCAGTTTATTTAAAAGGCACATACTGTCCAGACCAGTTCAGGTCAGAGTGTGCTCCACAGACTGGTGCCAATTCACAAACCGTTCGTTGCCAGTACACAGTGAGACAAGTACAGAAATCGAGAGTGTTTAGAAATGTTTATAGCAGTTTGACATTGCTGTGACATTTTTATTGTCTTTTATAAAACTACGGTCTGTGACAGATTGGAAATTTAAAAATCTAAACAAAATTGTCCTTCTCCACAGAGAGTTTGGGAAGTACCACCCTATATAACACTGGGCCGGACCAAGGTCGAGGGCCTAAGACAAGTCCCCCAGCAACGCCAGGAAGTTAGCGCCTAAGAAGACAGTGAGAGAAGCATGTGGAGGTGAGCCCTGAGGAGGGAGAGAAGGGCACAGAGGAAAAGGGCTAGCAGATCTTGTCAGAAGAAAGAGGGGATTCATTTCAGGGTGGGGACACCACAGATGGGTATGGAGGTTGGAAAGGGCAAGGAACAGGGCATGAGGAGGGACCGATGCTGAGAAGCCAGCTCAACAAGGAGCAGGCATGTTGGTGCCTGACGGTGAATGCTCAGAAGGGTGACCAGGGGTGCCTGGACTTGTGGAGGCAGGCAGATGACATGATGGCATTGATATCCAGGAGGGTCGGTCTCATGGTGGGTAAAGACTGAATCATGTTATCTAATTTAATGTATTTATCAATTTTCTAACCTGAAGGATACCAGCCATAAAAACCGTTTCAAGCACTCTTAGGGAATAAAACAAGCTGAAAAATGATCTGGGATTTTCAACAGGCAAGTATAAGTCACTATATTAGGGACGAGTGGTTCAAATAATATATATATAAAAACAGCAGCTCTCAGGGCTGACCCTGAACCTAGGATGGGGACTGGGGGTAGGCAGTCCCAAAGTGCCGTCTGCTTAACACCTGGGGCCCAATGTGGCCTAACCACAAGCTGACCTTGGGCCACAGATTACTCATTTATAAAGTGGCAAAAATCATTCACGTTTGCATAAGCTAAATGAGATGAGGTAATATATCCTTCTTAGTCTGAGGGCACAAGCTAGGACGAAAAGTTGTATGACAAGGTGAACAGGTACTGAGAGGAGGGGTAGCCTTTATAGTGGTAGGGAGGTCAGTGTCAGGCAGCTCGGATGCTGTTGAGGTCCCTCCTGAGAGGTGAAGCATCCACGGATTCAAAGAGGGCCAGGACCACGGGGAGGCTCCCTCGTGTTGTGCAGGCCTCGACTCAGCTGCATCTGATTTACTTCGGGCTTTAGAAAATATATGGGTCCTGAGCCCTGCCCTGGGGACTGTGGTTTAGCAGGTGTAGATAAAGGCCCAGGACTCCTTGGTGATTCTAAGGGGGTTCCAGGTCAGGACCCTGGCTAAGACTTGTCTCTGAAGGGACTGACTTTCTCTGGTTTGACAAGTCCCTATGGGCATCAGAACGAGGTCCTGAGAGTCTGTCCCACAACTTCAGGCTTCCAGGGCCTATAAGGGCATCCTATATTCTTCATGAGGGCTGGGTCTTGGGGATGGAGGCTCTTATGGCTCAGGAGCCAGGACAGAACACATGGGAATGCTTTCTAAGGTCTAAAAACATTGTTAAAAAAAAAAAGGCTTAAGATGATGATAGTGGCGGGGGTGTTTTTCTAAAGGGAGAAATGAACATAAAAACGAGTTATTGAGGTAGTAGCCCATTAAACTTTGTCCCTTTGAACCCATTCGCCTCCCCTCTCTTCCAACCTGCTTGCATGAAATATCACAAGTTGCGTAACTCTTGTGAGTCCTCCTACTGAGACTAGAACAACAAGGCTGAAATAAGCCAGATAATGATCTTCTATCTTGCAGCCATTTTCATATTAAACATGAATGAGATGCAGAAGCATTGTGAAATGATGGTGTACCTAGGCCCCCAGCCCATGAGACAGATACTTGAGTCAAGGCTAATCTTAGTTTTACTTACTCCAGCAGGGGAAAGATAAGGAATGGAAGAAGCTTCACTTCTCTCTTTCATTGTGACCTCTATTTCTGACAACGCCAAGTGGCCAAAGTAGGCAAAATCTATTCGGTTTATGTACCCAATAGATTCACCTGTGAGACAGGTGTATTTTCTAATATTGCGGTGTGTTTAGGTTCAAGGAGATAGCCTGGTGTGATAGAGCCCTGAACTAATAATATTTGTAAATACCTGACAAAGGACCTTTATATATCCTGTCCCATTTAATGCACATGAAGTTCGGATAGCTGGATATGGGGAAAGGAGCGGATTGTGGAGGACACATTTAGGATTAAATGCTACCTTGATCATTTTCTAGCTGTGTAACTTTGGGCAAATTACCTAACTCCTCTGAGCCTCAGTTCCCTTCCCTGTAAAATGAGGATAATCAAACCTGCCTCTAATGACCATGGTGTCATGAGGCAGAAATGAAGTAACCACAGAAAGCCCCAGCACAGCCCCTAATGCAGAGCAGACACTGTCTGAGTGGAGGCTCACCTTCCAAAACTGGCGATTCTGGTAAGACACCCAACAGGTTGGTTTTGGCCTTTGCTAGGTCTATGGACTCTACTGTTTCTCTGCCGAGTTCTGTCAGCCAAGCCCAACAGACATTTTCCCGCTGGCCCAGTTTCCTGTGCTTGCTCCCTGGCTGGCTGGAGTTGACTGACTATGTGGGAATGCACACTTAAGGGAGCCCTTGGCAGGGCCACTCCCAGAAGACTGAACCCGTGCCATGTAAACAGTGTACTTAGCTGATGATGAAGAGTTTAATCACCCCTAGCATCCACAGCTTACTTTACCTGCAAAAACATTCATTTCTTCCTGAAATGTTTTGGTTGCTACAGTCCAGGATGCTGCCAGAAATCCTTTCAATCAAAGCATTTAGGCACATTAGGATGAACGACTTTCTCTAGAGGACCAGGATTGACCAGAGAGGCTGGAAGAAGCCGTACTGACTTCGTCCACGGGGGCTTCCTGCCACTATGGCGCTGGGTCCAGTCCAGATAAACTTGATGAGGGCACGGTGACAGAGCCATGGCACATTTCAGGTAAAATTAAAACCAAAGTCCATGAAGTACAAAGGACGTGATGGTTCCTTAAATGGAAAACTTTCCTCTGTATCTCGAGACACTTAAATCATGTTTAATGTTACTTTGAAGAAAGAAAACAAAAATCCATTCTCAAAGGGGGCCCTGACACTAAAACTCTGCTTCAGAGTCATTCCCGAGCAATAGTTTAAAAGCCCCGGTCTGAGGCGGCAGAGTACCATCGCTGAGTCCTGGCTTGGCCACTGGGGCCAAGAGCTCTGGGGCAAGGGGTTTACATTCGCGAAGCTCCCATTTCTTCATCCACAGATAAAAAATAACAATACCTCACTTTATGGGTTAGGTGGAATAATTGCTGTTAAACTGACACACGTCAAACTCACAATGCATTTATTATAACACCAAGTTTCCCTGACTTGACTGTGCTGAGAAGGGCCTGGCTCGTTCCTCCTTGCTCTCCCAGTGTCTGCTGTGGGTCCTGGCACACAGCAAGGGCTCTATAATTCTTTGTTAAGTGAAAGGTCACCTGTGAGTATAGTCTTCTCACCACAGGCTGTCAGAGCTGAAGGGACTTCAGGATCACTTACCCCTTACTCCACACATTAGACGGAGGTCTAGTAAGTTTAACTACCTGAGGTGTGTAAGTGAACTGGTGACAAAGCTAAGCTTCAAAACTGGGGCTCCTGGATCAGAAATAATGATGCCATCCACAGAAAGGAACTGCTAAGGTTTCCTGAGGACTTATGATTTGTCAGGTTTTACTCATCATCATTTCTGAACCCTTGTAAAAACCCATTTTACGGATGATGAAACTGAGATTTAGGAAAGGCTAAGTCACGTGCCCAAAATCACACAGCTGAAAATTGCAGAGCTGGGTCTGAGCCCAGGGGTATGTCTCAACTACATGCTGCTCCACATCACTGCACAGGAAAGAGTCCGGAATCCAATAGTTCACAGCTGCCTTGATCAAGCCGGGGAAGTTCCAGCTAAGAGCAATTTTTATTAATCTGAGAAAAAAATCAAGAGGCAAAAGGACTGGGATGTGTGCCTCGCTCCCCCTGAACGCCCACACTGCAGGTGAGACTCCGGCGATTACACAGACTCAGAGCGGGTTGCTGCGTTGATACCACTTTGGCCCTCCCAGCTCACTCCCAACTCTTTCTCACTCTGGAAGGAAACATTCAGGAGGAGACCAAACCTCCAATTTTCTTGCATAATTTTGGCAAAGCTCCAGTTTCAGATCTCTACCTATCCACCAGCTGCCACCGCACAAGCCTAGCCCTGAATACACTCGCTTTGGTGATGAGACTTGTCTCTACCGCCACACTGGGTGGGCATCATGTTGACCATAGAACATCGATGCATAATCAGCAAACTCTTCCTTTGACTCGAACAAGTTCCAACCCTAAATTGTTAAAAGTATTGCCTACCAAGTCAGCAGTAATTGCTTACAATGTTATTCCAAAAGGGGATGTTTGAAAGCAAAAGGAGAAAGCAGCTGTAACACAGAGGAACAGATGCCAGGCGGACAGAGTCCACACAGGGACGAGCTACCCACCACATCCGGCGCCTTCTGGATCTGCGAAGCCAGCTGGAGAGAGTGATTGGCTGACGAGAGCTGCTCCCTTAAGGTCTCCGCCTCTCTCTGAGCCACCTCTGCCCTCTGAAGGAAATGAAAGGGTGAGGAGAGAAAGTACATTCAGTTTAACAACTGACAATTATTACAAGAACATTCATCAATTCATGCCTGACTGACTATAATTGATTTTCCTAAACACTCAACCTAATAAATGCTAGAAAAAAACATAGAATGTGATGGATTTTTATTTTAAACAGTACAAGGAAGAAATAATTGAGCGATTATGACAGTAATTTAACGCTAGGAGCAAGGAATCCCCTGCTGATAGTAATGCTCCGGCCCACTGAATTTCCCAGACTGAATAAATACAAGTGGAAATAGAGTCTTTTGATTCAATTTCTTTCTATTCTCATAGACCAAGAAGATTTTATTGCAGGATTACTCCTGGGAGTAATTCTCACGGGTAAACAGTGAATTAAAGACACTCTGGCCATTCTCTTCCTAAAAACATGCACAATGTTGTGGTTGTTTTCCTTCGGCAAGTATTTCCATAAATGTACAGGGTGTAAATGCCACTTCTTTTGTGAGGGCCAGGCTTATTTCAACATAGTTAACCCTTCACCGGACAAAGTTTTCTAATGCCGATGCTGGCATTCCAACCAGCAGGCCGATCTGGGGCCAGAGGCGGGAGGGCAGCCCAGGCCCACTGGGGTGTGGAGAGGCATGGAGCTGACTGCAGGACAGAGGCCCAGAGAGGAATGGGCAGACGCTTCCATCGCCTACATGTAATTCCTGGCCAGGGAAACCAATACCACTGGATAGCAAATCAGGATTTCCCACTGGATGGCGAGAATAGGTCATTCCAGTGCCTGCCACCTGAGAGGGCACTGTGGTGCAGTGGGCAGGAATTGGGCGTTTGGGGACAGAGGGACCAGGGGAAGGGGAAGTTATCTAAGCTCACTCAACTTCCACCTACCCATCTCTAAAATGGGAACACCACCTCCCTCTCAGGGACCTTGCAAGGATTAACATCTACAGAAGTGCACTGTACATAGAGCTCATTCAGAAGTGTTTTATTAATGGGCTTGTCCTGATTTTATAATCATAATTGAGACCAAACTCTAAGATGGGTAAGAAAGGTAGCTAATTGACATTGGACTGAGAAGTATCGTGCTTATTCTACTAGACTTACATTCAGTTAAAAGAAAAGATTGATGAGAAAAGCCTGGCTGAGCAGGGCTATATTGTGTTTTCTCATTTTGTGGTGTGATGTCATGTGTCTACTAATTGCTAAGAAAGACCGAAAAAGAGAAACAAGAAGTTAGTATGCCTCAGTACTTGCTGATCAATCCAGTTGTACGAAGAATGGATTTGGTAGCTTTAAGCGATCACGTGATGGCAGTGTGACTCTATCTGTTCCGCATACAGACAATTTAGGGTATTTCTAAAAGCAGTTACTTCTGCCTAGGGTGGTGCTGGTGGCCGCCTGCCCTGCTTTTCTGGGAGCTCTTGGAATTGCACTCAATCAAATTCACAGGCTCCTGGCCAAGCCTGTCTGTACTCGAGCAGCCAACTCCCACCTTCTTTGCTCTAAACCCAACAGGAAAGGCAGCAATGTGACCCGCATGGCGAAGATGGCAGGGGTGATTTCTAATTCATGCTAACTGCAGGAAAGTCTCCTCTTGAGTGAAAAAAATTTTCCCCAGTTTATTTTCAGATGTGCCAGTCCACGTTTTTCTGATAAATGTCACATTACTGAAGAGTTTACTCTTTGCTTTCTAGTCAGCTAAACCCTCGGGCATAACATCTCCTTGACTCTGCCAGGAATAAGGTGCATTTTGACATAGTTCTAGTCTCTTTGACTAGGAAAAATGTTTCTTAGCCTGGTGGAGAAGCTGTTCTGGGAGCAGCCAAGGAACAGCATCGCTGCCCGCCTCACTTGGAAACACTGGCTCCGAAGTGCTCTTGGAACCACCAGAGCCCAGGCAGGCCTAGGCAGTGGGTTCATGACCAGGAGAGGAACACATGAGGGCCTTTAGCTGTTCGGAGCAGAGTGCCGTCTCATCAAATGCCAGTGGCTCACAGAATAAGGGATCTAGCTCATCCTCAGTTTGCATAATTTCTCCAAAGCTTCTGCACTTTATTCAGTCTCCAAATTCATGTACAGAGTAGCTCTGTGGCCTATCTATGGTGGTCACAGCCTTTTATCACATTTTGGCTTGACTTGGTTACTCCAGTGCAACTTTTTGATTGCTTAGGATTGATATTATTTATTTAGGATTTATACCTTGAGTATATATATATAAAAAAAGTTGAGGTGGAATTACATGCAGATGATGGAAGCATCCAAACATGGACAAAGCTGAACAATTAAAAATAAAAACAGGCCTGAGTATGGCTGAAAGAGGGAGATTCTTTAGTTGTAAATTTAGCCCCATCTTTGGTAGTGAGGCAGAAAGAAAGGGGGTGCTGTGCTGGGTCAGCGCCATGGTTTCCAAGGTCTGCCATCTTCCGGATGACCACAGTCTAATCAGATAAAATCATGTTTCTAGAACTGAAATCAATGACTGAAGGTGGAAAGCTTTGGCGCTGTGTTCTGATCTGGAACCCCAGAGAGATGTGGCTGCTATGAGACACTCAATTCTGTTTCCACTGATGGGATCCCACCCACCTCCCCTGTCCCTCCAGAGGCAGAGCCTGGGGACTAAGGCCAGGGCTTCAGCAGGCAGCTGGCGGCAGCTCCAGGTGTGATTCAGTGGCCACCAGATTATGAGAACAGCACCCTGCCAAGCCTGAGCTGCTCTCCTGGTAGATTTCTCTTGCTAGCTGCTGCTTACTTTCTGAACTTTTCTAAGAAGTGAGAGTAAATGCTGGAAGCACAGGGAAAGTAAAGAAGAAGCTAGAGCCCTGAGGTGACTCCATTTCAGTGATTCTCTAGGAGGGAGGTCAGAAAGCTATATCAAGAAGTTTACTGCCATGTGTCCCAAGCTGGCCTTGTGTTGGCAACCAAAGTCCCCATTCAGACCTGCTGCCTGTGTTTCTGGGGACTTGGCACATACCGGTTTAGATTTCTTTCTCAGGTCGGCCAGGCTGAAAGCTGGAACTACACCAAGGCCACCCATGTAAATGCTGCCTGTCACAGCCTGAGCCACAATTTCAGAAAAACCAGAAGAGCAAATTTTCTGTCCTCCTCCTGCCACAAGGGGTGGCCACAGGGGCTCTCTCTAGGGCTCACTGGCCTGTTGGACCTGGGCCGAGAGTCCAATTTATTATGTGGAGAAACCAAGGTTCCCAGGAGACCCAAGGAGTGACCAGAAGCACAGACATGGTTTGCTTAGTTGCAAAGAGTCCGGGTGAAACCTGCACCTCCTTAGCACCTACAGGGTGTCCGCATAGATGGGCTGTACCCCAAAAGGGCGTGCTTGCAACAGGTGCTGAAAATATTTGCTGGATGAAAGAGGGTTTGAGGATGCGGGCTCTCTCAGAGGTGTGAATTATTGCCCTCAGTCTATACATGGGGAAACAGGTACTGGAAGACTGGGGATTTGCTCATGGGTGGAAAATAGAGAGCTAGGATGCAAATCCTGCCATTCTTCCCTATAGGAACTCAGAAACCTTGGTCAAAGAAAATGCCACGCCTTGCTCTGAGTTCTTTTTACTCTTTGCATCTTTCTCTACACTTGGCTCCTCTTTGGTGAAGTTAAGCTGTGGTTTCCAACTTAACCTCAACCTGAAGGATCTTCTGTTAGGACAGTCTGCTCCTCAAGAATCAGGCTGGTTACAGGAGGACCACTCACTGAAAGGACTTCCTCCTGCCCCTGCTGTGGCTTTGTGCCCTGGCAACTCAAATCAGCACTGCTCTGAAGGAGGGGCAGGTGATGGTGAAGCCAGAGAAGCTGACGGAGCTATGAAGCCCACAGAAAGGGTTTCATGTGGTTGCAGAGTGCACAGTTGTGGTTTCTTATTTCCCATGAAGTCTCAAAAGTTCTGAACCTCTACTGTCATCAATTCAGAAAATGAGTATTAATGCAACTGCCTTGAAGTTTAACAAACAGGTGCAAATGAGACCTGGACCCGATAGGCAGTAGGTTGCAGATGACTCTTCCACTTCTCCACAATAGAAACACAAATATTTTAGCAATCAAATAGAGCTTCACATCTCTGTAGAACATTCTGACTATAAACCTAGTGAAAAAATAATGTTATATGACAATGAACTAGTAAATTGTTCCTCCTGGAGATCTGCCCTGATGGGAAAGGCAGCTGAACCAGATGCCTGGCTGTGCCTGCACTGGTGTGCGCCTCCCTGTACTCTCCTCCGGCCCAGCCCACCTCTGCCTCACCTCTACCGGGATGGCCTCATTTCAGGCCCATGCCATCTTTGCCTTGATCTACTACGATAGCTTCTTATCGCTCCCCTGGCTTCTGGTCTTTCTACTCCCAACTGTTCTCCAATGCTTAGCCAGAGTGATCCTCCCAGATCTCAAATCTGACCTTACTCTCACCTGTGATTCTCCACTGTTCTTGGGAGGAGGCCCTCTACACATCTGGATGGATTCCTTCCCATGGGCCTACTCTCCCTCCCTGCGCCTCCTGGTTCTGGCTTTACAGAAAGCCCTGGAGCACCCAACCAGAGCTCACCATGCCCATCTTCCTCATGTCTGCTCAGGGAGTTTTTCTCCCTGTTGAGTCGTCCTTGTCAATCCATTCAGTCATTTAGTTCAATTCCTATTTCTGTTCACTCTGTGCCTGATCCCGTCTCATACTCTCAAGTGAGGGTTGGCCTGTATCTGCCTGCACTGCTCTGGTGACAAGATCACTGCCTTCAGTGGCAGCTTTAGGCACCTCTGGAAAGTCAGAACTGAGAGCGAACTTCCCTCCTGTCAGACTCAGCCATGAAAAAGCCCGACCCCTTCCCTTGACCAGAGCTAGGGAGCTACAAGGACAGAACTCACAACGTCCCCACCCTAGGTCTTCCCCTTTGAAATCTTTTAACATCTCATGTTCCTGAAATTATTCCTCTGGTGCATGATGTCAAGTCCCTCTGTCTTCTTTCCCTGCTCCCCAAAGATTAGGAATGTCTTCAAACCTTCTGTGCATCTTTTATGTTAGGGTCCCTCCCCTGACTCTGAATGTACTTCATGTACTTCAAGTACCC